GGGGGGGGGGGGGGGGGGGGGGGGGGGGGGGGGGGGGGGGGGGGGGGGGGGGGGGGTCACGACGTCAATGCGGCGCGAGGACCGGAAAATACTCCCCCAATTCATGTTCATCTCCTGAGAAATTCGAGACGTTTATATCGCGGACGACACAAGTTGGTGTGTGCCGTCTCTCGTCTTCCTGTGCTGTTTCTCTTGGTATCTGCCGCTTCGTCGCAAGTCCACACGCAACAAACTGCGCGTTCGTGGTCTGTCTCTTCTCCTCATCGACTGGATGTATTCGACTGTGCAACCCACGTGCATGTAGTGTATCCTCTCTCTACGTTCGCCAAGATGTACACCACCAACGGCAGAAAAACGATATTTCGCCATTATTGGCGACTGCGACGTGTGCGGGACCCCGCCTCCCTCTCTAGCACAACACACCTACGTACCTCTGATGAGACCGCGAAGACGAGACTGAAGAACGTCTTGGTTGGCTCATCTCCACCTCCTCGAAACAGCTGCATCATTGACATCATACGGCAGGGGAAAACAGGCACAAACAAGGAGGCGGCATGCTACGCATAGTCAGACGCACAAGATGGTCGCCAAATTGTCTCGGACCGCCTGTCCCCACGAGCGAGACATCGCCGTATGTTGCTCGCGGCATGTTATGCATAGTCAGATGCACAAGATGGTCACCAGATTGCCTCGTAGAGCCTGTTCCCCACGAGGGAGATATCGCTACATGCTGCTCGGGGAATCGAGAAAAACAGGTAAATGTGTCCGCCAACGCTACGGATCCACTGAATTGAATGCAGATGAATAGTCTAAACTTGTTGGGTGCGAGTGTATTTTCACTGTCAAAGTTCGTGTTTCGGTAAGAAAACCAATATCACCTCAGTCGATGGCAAGTGGTGCGGGCATTGGGACCTAACGGGGGGGTGTACTCATAGTCGTGCATGCCGTAGTCGTTAGACCATTGACCTCGCATCCCTACAAAGCCGGGACGGAGCACGCCGGGTTCTCACCGGACCAGGCTCTCACATCACCAAGCGCGAAGCGCCGTGAGATATTCGGCGAGTCGCATGAAGGGTGCGCTGCATCCTGCTAAGGGTGTTCGGCA